TTACTTGCAGTTGGCTGAACTCTTTGGTGTCGGCTTAGAGGCGCATGCCGATATGTTGCTGGAGATGAGGCTTCCCAGAATGCGGTTCTCGTGTTCCTGCGAAGCCATGCCACCGGAAAGGTCCATCCGCTGCAGGCGATGGCTGGCAGGCACGACGTGCGCGCAACTGAGACCCCTGCTTGGATACCGGCAGGATTCAGTAGCCGAGCTTTTAAAGCAAGGCCTCGAATCCCAAATCCCTACAACCTAGATCCAGTTTGTCGCCCTGCCTAATAAGTCACCGGACCCTGCAAGCATGGTTGGTGGAGTTTGACGAAAAAGTAGGTTCTTAGAGCTCAAGTTGGATAGTTTTTTGCAGATTTTCGACACCTCAACTCTTTGGTTTTAGGTTAAGGGCATGCGGCAACGTACCCATCATCAAGGTAATTGATAGTTTCCGCACCCCAGGTGAAGGATAAAGGAAGCATAGCCGAGTGTCACGACACACCATGCCAAGACCTGCCGTTGGTGATTGAAGTTGAGGTGTTTTCTCTCGTACCAGTCACAAGTCAACACGACCGTGTTCAAGTGCACAACAGCCCACTACCTGCAACAACACACTATTCTGTAGCTGTTATACAGCACGATTTCTTTGTTCTTGAATCCTTGTTCAAAAGTTAGGTCCTGTCCTATGCCCGAACTCGGAACATACCCCGCTGCCCCCGACAACAGGCCATCCTAAACCACCAAAACCGTACACCTTACACTAACGTTGGTATTCGGGGTTTAGGGTTAGGGCAAAAATACCCCCCCTGGTGTAGGACGTTTGCTGTAGTGGAAGTTTGTTGTCAGACGGGCTGGAGGTATTAGTTGTGACCTGCTGTTGTCGTGTCCCAAGCCTCGCCTGACAAGCACAGTACTCGGTGACACGTGCCAGAGTCTCTAGTTCCTTTCCGTTGGACCAGTATCGCTACAGACCTTGCTAGGCTTGTCCGGGGGTGAGTGTCAAAACGCCCCAATGCCTGAAGTTAAGGTTCGTTGGCGAGAGCCGGAGGTTGTGGAGCACCAGGCCATCGCATGGGAGCGTTACAGGGAGTTGGGGTTCCTGAGCCCCGACACCGTTGGGTGAGCGTCGGGTACCTCAAGCCCTAATCAATTTCCCCAAACCTCTAGACCTTGAAGTCCGGCTCGTGGACGGGAGTGCTGTGCAAAAAGAGGTCAGAGAAGAGTCTGCGACTAAAACGGGCGTGAAACCGTGCGCTTCAAATTGAAGCATCTTGCCAGGAGGAGCCCAATGACGAGACGCCGGCCGTGGCCTCTTGGTCTCCAAGAGCCTGGTCTGCCTCGGGCTACTATCAGGCCAGGTCGCTCCAGGGTGTTCAGTATTGGTTACTGAGTAGTTTTTGGATGTAGCTGCATATTCTGTTGCCGAAGCTTGTTTTTTGAGGCAGGGTGGCGGTTTTCGGGGGTTTCGGTGGCAGCTTTCGTGATTTTCCCTCAAGTACCGAGCCACCCCTCAAGCGGCTTTAGATACCCTTACTACCCTAAACCCTAAGCCCTAAACTTGAAACTCTACAGGGCCTTACTATGATTTAGGGATTTAGGGTCGGTCATAATCCTGAAGTCAGGGTGTTGGAAAGGGTTTTCGGGTCGGGGTGGTGTCGCTCAGTCTACTATACTGAGGGCCTTAATGATTAGAGTCGAGCTTGCGGGTGTATTCTAGCAGAAAACTTAGCGAAGAAGTTTGAAGTCAGACTCCCCCGACCCGGCCCTACCCTAAAACCCTACAAAACTCAGTGAAACCCTTATAAACCCTAAACCCTACGAAGCTCAGCGAAACCATTCTAAACCCCAAACCGTGCAAAACTCCACCTTACAAGTTAAAAAAAGCCCGAACGAAGGCCCACAATTCCTCCTGGGTCCAGGCCCAGGGAGACTGGTGGCCCCGGCGGAGCTGGGACAGCAGGGGGCCCTGGTGGTGCACTCTGCAGTACAGATCTCTGATACAGTGCCTTAAGCTTGAGCTCAGGAGTCTTGGGGCATACTAAAGTTGGCGAAGGAAGGATGCCGATGTACACTTCTCGATTGGTGTGTGTCATCAGTGCCCTAGAGTCCTAGAGCTTAACAAGGTTTGAATTTGGGTGTTTTGAGCCCGAGGAGGCTCAGTTCGGAATGCCTGGACGGTGCTCGTAATCATCTGATGCCTGTTATTCGGGCTTGGGAAGTCGTCTAAACGATAATCATATCAAGAAGCCCGCTGGATGAATAGTATTCGATCTCTGATAGTGTACGCTTTCGTCTATCAACAGTGTAGGTAGACCCTGCACAACCCTAAACCCTAAACCTCAAACCCTTAAACCCCTAAACCTTAAAACCAGGGCCGGGTGATGAGGCTTTTAGAGCAACATTTGGACGTTTCCAGGCTTAAGTCTGAAGGCCTAGCTCGAAACTCTGAAGCGTTGATCATACCTGGTTGATGCACTCGCAGGACCACGCTTCAGGTTTCAACCTCGCCGAAAGGTTGCTGACACTGACAGCAAAATCCGACGAAACGATTTCCGAAACAAGCATATCAGCAAGAAGCGCGAGAGGGACACGAAGCTTCAAGTCAAAGCAAAAGCTTCTGGATCCAAGCGGTGCCGCCGATGCGAACTGCTCGACCGGAACCCCCCAGGCTGCAGGTTGTGAGAGCTGAACCCCTAATTAAGCCTTACCACAATTTAAACAGCCCGAACACAAGCACAAAATTCAAACCCCCCCCCTTTCTTTCAGGCTCAAGACGCTGCTGGGGTGACTCGTGGTCGACGTCCTGGCCTGCCAGCCCAGCTGGACAGCGATTCCGGGGCTCAGGGCCAATGGTCCTAGGTAATGTTCAGGTACTGTTCACCCGGTGGGGGGGAGTGATTATTGAGAGGGGGTCCCAGTACTGCTACGCTCTCTCCGACTCTAAAACCAAAACTGACAAAAGGACCCATGTGTTCTTTTAGAAACCAAGGACGGGATGATTATTGAGTTCCGGGGAAGGGGTTTTATAATTGCCGGGGTGTGTATCATTGAGGGGGGGGGGTCCATAAAATTGAAGTCAACATTCGTATCGGGGAGACCCCTTAAAGGGGACCCTTCTTGGCCCTACTTCTGGCTCTCTTACAAGGGACCTTATTGCGAGGCTCTATATCCCCCGCCCAAGGGTCCCCCTAGTCCTAACTGTCCTAACTCCTATATAAATATAGGCTTTAGGGTTCAGTCGGGGCCCAGGGCTTGGGGTTTAACAGAGTGCCTCAGAACGCTTGGCTTCCTTCGCTTCTCGCAAATTCAGGTTAGTTTATGTATAGACATTGAGATCTCTGGTTGCTTTTGGTTTATCAGCACGAGCATGGTTACCACGTCCAATTTCACGACTAACAGCTATGGCCAGTACCGTTATCATTATCACTACTCTTTCCTATCACTGCCATTGTTGCCGTCATTCGTGACTCTTGGAAGGTTTCTCATGGATAGGGCTTTCAAGCTGTGAGCGTCCATAAATCATGTACCCCAAACTTTCCCCCAACCCTACACTTGAACTCAACTTTGCCTAGACCCTGAACCCTAATGCGGGTTTGTCCTTGCTAGGTAGGTGAGGGACAAAAGCTTACTTTCCCTAATCCCTGACCTAAGTCTTTTTACCTAGTTCTTGTGTGAAGAGACTTCTTGCCGGAAGCCGTGCCTGCCTCGAACCTGTGTGTGTGTGTGTGTGTGCGAGTCGAAAACCCCTAAACCCGAAACTCTAAACACACGCCCGCTAGAGCTCCAACAAAGAAGTGTGGAAGGCGATGGGACTCGAACGACTGGTCTTGGGACCGCGACACCAGCAAGGCTTCGCATTGTATAGAATGGTTTCTGCTTTCAATCTTCTTGAAGGATTCTACAGGGGTTACCATACGGGTGCAGTATGCGGGCCTCAATGGCTAGATTCGGGTTTTTGGTTGCGCATCATAGTACAATCAATTGAAGGGATGCTAGGGAATAATGCTGGTAGTTAGTCAGCCCCATGTATACCAACTATTCGAGGATTTGGGTTGAACACCGGATTGGGGTGTCGGGGTGGAGCAGCCTAGGGGGGTTTGGGGTTCAGGGTCCTGGGGATTCGTGCCCAAAGCCTCCTGAGATGTGACACGGTGTTTTTCTTGCTGCTAGGTCTTTGGAGTTTGAAAGGTTGAGGTTGAATTGAAGCTTTTGCGGCGGCTCTTTGGTTTTCAATATAGGAGCCTGAAAAGTCACCAATGCTAGTCCTGAGGTTGCACCAAGCCCTCTTCCAGGTATGAAGGCCCATACACCTTGCACTTTTGGTGTGTGGGGCATTCGGCTGGGACAAGGAAGAGGAGCAGTTGGAGACCTAGGAGCTCGGAGCAGGAATGGTCGGAGAAAGTTATCGGTAGTCGCAGCAGCAAGACATGCTTCTACGGTGTTTGCTCGTCTGCCCGCCGGGCGCCCCCCCAGACACTAGACAGACAACATAGTGACAATAGTGCGAAGTTGAGCACCTTGACATTGCTAGTGCCTTCCGGTGACTGTGCCATCTCTCGCCTCAGAATGCGGGTTCGTCTAAGGGGTGCACTTGCGATCATTGTTGTACAGTGAAGCTCAATAAAACAATGTCTTCCGGTGGCTCTGATGGTAGCTACATGCGTTCGAAACACTGGAAACACTCACAACCTCAGGCGGGCAAGACAAAGCCCAACCCAAGCCCTGTGGCCTAAAGCCTGCACCTAGGCCCCACATAGACATTCGAATAAAGTGCTCGTGTGCCCGACTGGTCGCTACAGGACAATACTACCATGCAATCCGAAGTCCTTAAGGCCCCGGTCACAAACCCCGTTAAATAGCAGCCTGAGGGAGATGAAAGCCTACAAGCAAGACCAACAAGACCAAGCAAAAACCTATCAACAAGCCCACCCAACAATAACAAAAGCTATAAACACGCCCACAAAACGACACAATAGCTTATCAACAACCCCTGGATTAAGCCCTTAGTCTGAGCCATGCGGCGATTCCCTGCACTGGCCCGGAGCCGGTCCCATCAGCGATGCTTCGGCAGCTGGGACCGCGTGCCCGGCCGTGTGCAGGTGGACTGTGCCGGGTCTAGGGTTTAGGGTTTAGGGATAATCGAGGGTTTCAGGCTCAGTGGGCTCCACGATCATTGAAATGCACTTGCACGCCTCACTAGACTCTTCAACCCAAGCCCTTCCAGATGGGAGCGGAACCGGGGTGTGGGTTCTTTGGGGTTAGGACGTTTGCTTCAGTGGAAGGCTGCTGGCAGATGGGCTTGAGCTTAGCTGGTGTCGAGTTGTGGGAGTCTTCTTAAAAGCCTTGTCTGGTGATTTGGGCCAAGTAGGTAGTCAATGTGTTGTTGGAACCGTATCGCTTCAGACCTTGCCAGGCTGGTCCAAGTGTCAAGAAAAAACGCTGGACCCCAGACCCATACCCTCAAATCGCAAAGGTACAAACATGTCTTGATGCGCTTGCCCCTGTCAGACGTCGGTCATCGTCAGGTGCTGACTTAAAGCCAGTAAAATCCACAGTCTAAGACATTACCAGCAAGCCTGGTTCTGGCAGGTTTTGATATCGAGTCTGCGTAAGGGTTCATAGATTAGGTTCTAGTCGATACAGGTACACAGCCCGGATCCATGAATTCAAGCAAGCGTTGAAGCCAGACACCGACACCCGGAGATTGGTTTAAAAACTCGGCCCAACACCCGCGAAGAGTGATTGCTTTCACATGGCTTCAGTTAAGCTAAACTATCGGGCCCTGCGATGTAGGCATAATCCCCGCCAGAGGCCAGCCAACTAAGTGCCACACCTTTGTCTCTTCAATTTAGGGTTTAGGGTTTAGGGCCCGACATGAGCGAACCCAGGCAAAACCATAAGCCCTCAAGCTCAGACCTAAACTGTCAGCCCTAAGCCATGGGACTAAACCTTGAGGCCTAAACCCTAAGACCTTAAACCCCAGGGCCCTATCCCTAAGTGCGAAACCTTGAGCCCTAAACTCTTCTATAACCCATTAATCTCTGGTTTGAAAAGGCCTGCACCTCATGGCTCGGCCCTTTGGGTTTTCCGAGTCGCTGCACAGTTCTACATGCACTATGTGGGGTGGCGAAGGGGTGTAAGGCGACTCCAGCTTCAAGAGTCCTTTACAGACCAGCTTGGGGCCGTGGGCGCTCTGATCAAAGTTCCCTCTGCGACTCTGTCAGAAAAGCCGCTGCGGTGTCGTTCCAGCCAAGACAGGATCCAGCCGGTTCTGCAAGCTGCTTGTCAGTCTTGTCCAGCACGATGCGCAGAAGCCGAAGGATGCAGAAGACGAGAGCCCGGAGCATGCAGCGGAGGCTGGGGGGTTGGTGCCACAGCCAGAGGCTCTCCGAGCAAAGGTGCCACAACTGTAGCCTCCCACTCAGAGGAGCTACCCACGCCGGCAGATGGATCGTGAAATAGTCATGCTTCGCATCATTTCCACGGCATTCTGACGAGTTCTGAGCCCAACCCGAGCCATCAAGCAGAAAGACAGTGAACTCCGAGAGGTCACTGACGTTTCTCCTCGAGATGGCCTGCAGAATGAACCTGCAGCCGCCCCAGTCGCCACCGCAAATCCTTCATTTCTTACATGGCATACGACCTCTTTAAGCTTTCATTCTTACAGGCGGGTCTTACTTACTATTCGTCTTTCTGGGGGTAGACAGCCGGCGGGCTCCTCATCAGGTTTATTTACCCCAGAGCGTCGAAGCCTATCACTTGAAACTGGTATCGCTGCGCCCAATCACAAAATGCCACGCTCGAAACCCAAAACCCTAAATCGTAAGCCGTATAACCACAATACTTTGGTCTGCTACATTGTAGCTGGGCTCCCGGGCTTCCAATTGAGGGTTGACAGCCAGCAGCAGAGTGCGGCAGGTGTCTGATTTCTGGTTGGTGGCTTGCCACGCCGTACGGTTTGGTGCGTGCTGTTTGCGGGGTAGGGTTCATAGACTTAGGGTTAAAGGTTGAACAGACTCAGACTTAAGCTTATTTAGAATCAGAACGTAATACACATCTCCGCTGCCAAAGACGTTTGGTGGAATGGAGACGGGAGATATTTTTCTTTGTGATGTTTCACTTGCTCAAAAAACTGTACTGTGGCGTTGTGATGCGAAGTTTATCGTTTAACGATGTTTAACGATTGGGCAGTTTATGTGGAGTCTGCATTGTTTGTCAGTTCGGCTGTGGTGCTGTTGCCATTGACGTGTTTATCTGTGTCGTTGTGATCCTCAGGGCAACTGTTTTATTGTTCTGTTGTCAGTTTGTTGTGTTATTGTCCCCTCGATGTTTTCCACATCAATGGTTGTGGATATATTCAAGATTTAGGTCGAGTTGTATGTGTGTATATATATATATAACACCATATCCTTGATCAGAGTCTCAGAGCACTTATGATGTCTCATGCTCATTGTTACGCCCATGAACCCTAAGCCTAAGTCCTGAACCTGGAGCACGTATGATCGCTGTTGTTGCGGCACGCGGCTGGACATCCGCAGCCAACTCGACAGTCCTGCGGTTGGTCGGCGTTCGGGCGACCCCGGCCCTTGAATCTTTGACGGCAAGCTATATTCTACTATATCGTAGTATAGTTATACCTTATGAAGCATCTTTATTATCATATTACATGGTATGTTACATTGTACTACAGTATATCAATTATAGCAAGCCCACCAGCGGCGGATCCCCACGCCCAAAAGCACCGGACACCAGAGACCCCTCTCCCTGCTTCCCAGGGGTCTCTTCATCCTCTTACACCTACACCCTCAGCCAAGCCCTTCCTAGGAAGTCTTTGAAACTTCTATCAAGAGACCCTTAGCCCCTTGCCCTAGATTCTATAGATGGTGCTGAAACCTTGAGAATCTAAACCCTGAACCCGACCCCGGAAACAGGGTTTCTGGAGCCATGGGCCATGTCTGATTTACCGGAAGAGCTGCTATCTTCCTGGCCACCGGCACTCCTGGAAGAGGCTCGGAAGGGGCTCTGAGGGTGTGGGCTGTGGCTTTGGCGTTCTGCCACTGCTGCTGCTATTGCTACTGCTACTACTGCTGCTGCCGCTGTTACGACGACTGCTGCCGCAGCTCCTGCTACTACGCTGTTGTTGGTCGTCGTCATGCATGTGCAGTGGTGTGGGTTCCGTGCCCCGCTATGCCCAGGCCAGGCAAGGGGTGGATTCTCTTCCCCGTTGGGCGCAACGCGAGCTGCGAGACTCCCATCGTACAGCAGAGCCCGACACCTCGCTCCAGATCGGGGAGGTGCCGGTGTTGGAGGACCACATGCGGATTCCATTTTTTGTTTATTGTGCGTTATTCGGTTTTGGGCCTTTTCGGGAGTTACGACTTCGAGACTCAGGTTTGATGCGCTTTGGAGGGGCCCGTGCTATCATGCCTACACGTAGCATGGCTCTTTGCTGGACCAGACCCCGGCTGGACGCAAGTACACCTACTCCCCCCCTAAACCCTAAACCCTAAATCCTAGTCCGAGTGTGAGTGCTGAAACCCTAAACCCTAAACCCCTAAACCCCTATAAACCCTAAATCCTAAACCCTGTAGCCAGTAGCTGCCGAAGACATGTTGGGCCCTGAGCCCTCGAGCCTCCTCGACCTCCGCGATGGCACTGGCAACCTACCGGCAGCCGCCATTGCATGCAGCGTAATTCCGTGTAAGCATAGTTCGTTCGATGACGGCCAGGGAACATGAAGATAGCAGCTGGTGAGATTGACATGATGATCGACATCTAACGAACTCGCCCTTTAGTTCACAACAACCAAAAAGCCGAAGGCACCGGGGCCAACCCCCAAAGCCCAAGCCTTGAGGCCCAAACCCTGAACCATGGACAGAGAGACCTCGTCTGGCGGAGTCCGAGTTGCGAGAGCATGGGCCCCAAATCCGAGACCTCAGGCGGTTTAGGGCTTTAGGGTTTAGGGGTTTAAGGGTTTAGGGGTTTAGGGTTTAGGGTGAAGGCTGTAGGCATTGAAAACCCTCCGGCTAAAGCCTGGACCAGCCCAACACCCTTTTCACATGCGCAAAGTTTATCGAGTAGAGCTTGACTATGAACCTACTACTTGAAGTTCCCAAAATCCCACAGGGCTTTGTTAGGGGTTTTTAAAGGGTTTCAAAGGGCAAGGGCACTTCGGGCTCCAGGACGCGGGATGCTGACACTGACGACTCCCGTTCTGCACGATCCAAGCAAGACTATACTCCCACGGTGTAGGGCCAGACTTTTAGGTTAGGGCATAGGAGCCCCTTCCAACACAAGTTCCCTGAGAAGGGCCAGACTTACCACCGATTTGGGTTTTCAGCTTCAGGTTTCGTGGGAGTGAAGCTATAAGGCTCACTCAGTAAGGCCTCGATCTACCGCCCTTAACAAGGAAGCACCCAATGGGCAGTAAACTAAGCCCTAAATCTCACAACCCCCTCCAGAATTTATTTGCACCTTAAACCAGAAAACCACCATAATAAATATAGGGGCCTCAAAAATTACCTATACTATTCTGGGAGTTCCATATTATAACCATGCCATATTATAACCATGGTGTATTTTACCCCAAAACCCTATTCTAATATAGGCCCCTATAGTCAGCCCCTAAACCCTTAACCCTGCCTTAACTGCTAGGTGGAAAGAGGTGCTTTAAAAAACCCTAAACCGAAACCCTAAACCCAAACCCTAAAATAGGCCCCTATAGTCAGCCCCGAGCTCCGAGCTTCTCCGGAGGACAGGGGGAGCAAGGATCTACCGCAGCTGGTGCCCATCGTCCATGAGGCCCCCTTTTTACAGGGACCCCAAGCTTAAAAAGCACTTCAGAGGCCCTGGAATGATGTTGGTATATGGTCATGAATTGGATTAAGCTCCTTGGCTACACTTTTTTTGGCCCGTGCAGAAAACCTGGCAGACTCAGCCGAAGTATCGAAAGATATGCAGCTCGAAAGAACGCAGGTAGGCACGTAGGCAGCTTCACTGCCGAAAGCCACTCTTGGCAGATGTTGCAATGGCTCGAATTTGCTATGTTAGGTTTAAAGGTAGAGTTTAAGGGTTCAGGAAGTTTCGGAATAGCAGGTGGTAGCAGCTTAAGAGCCATCAAGATGTAGCTAGTGCAGCAAGACAGGTCAGATGTGTTCCACAGCATCTCCAGGGCCTTGCGTGCATTCGGGTTTTACCACGCGCTGAGCCAGCAAGCCGTGGATAAGATAACCCCCCATGAAGGTACGCAAAAACCCAGCCGGGAGCCTGAAGACCTTCAACCCTAAACCCCTAAGCGGAGCCTTGCCTGCTGTGTGCGAGTGTGAGAGTCGAAACCCCTAAACCCTGAACGCTAAACCCCAAACCCAGGCTCCTTCACTGCACTTAAAAAAACCAGGCTCGTAAAGGACTGGCTTTCACACCACAGCCCTCTATCCTTCAGAGGGTTCTTGCGCTCAAAGCTCCGCCTCTGCGCAGCCCCAGGCGGAAATCCCCTTTTAGGGTGGCGTTCGGTTTAGGGTGTAGGGTTTACCGGCACAGCCTAAAGCCCGGAACCAGACCTTGACAAAACACGCCAAACTCCAAACTCCAAGCCCCAAAAGACCCTTCAACAAGCACTTAGACTAAGCCCCGAAACCCACCCAAGACCCCGAAACAGCCCTAAACCCTAAAGCCTAAACCCTAGGGTGGGGCATAGCTCAGACCGTCGAACGCCATGCCAGCCTTGTGCGAGTGTGTGAGTCGAAAGCCTAAACCCTAAACCCTAAACCCTCCCTAAACCGAACGAAAAGGGCCCTTAAAAAAAAAAAACCCTCCCTAAACCGAGCGGTTCCTAGCGAGGCAGCAGCCCTGGCCGCCCAAGTACGGCGCCTCGGTGAGGTTGAGTTCCAGGAGGAGCGCCGAGTCATTCGGGTTTGGGGGTTTCGGGGTTTCGGGGTTTGGGGGTTTGGGGGTTTGGGGGTTAGGAGTTTAGGGGTTTAGGGTTTACGGTTTAGGTTGGAGATGATTCAGAACAGCTTCATGACTCCATCTATCAGGATTATCAGCTCGTCAGTTCTTTCAACAGCGTATCCGACAGATTGGCTCGTAAAGTCGTGCGACCCCGTTAAACTAACCTGGGACTGTGCTTAGGGCTGGGCTAGGCTGGGCTCGGTGGCTGGATTGTAAGATCTGGTCAGCAAAAGATACAAGTTCAGTTGAAGGGATTAGGGTTTAGGGCTCAGGGTCTTGAGTTTTGGGAGATTCCTCAGAGGGGTTGTTTAATCAGGCTTCGCAAGTTGTAAAGAGGCCTTGGCCTTGTCATGGGATTACAGCGTTCAACATGTGTTCTAGGAATTGGGAGTTCAGGAAAGCATGTGGAGTCAGGGACTCCGAGCTTATCTTGAAGCAGGGCTAGCAACGTATGGTTTAGGGTATCGGAGTTCAGTACTGGCTCTACGAACCCGGGTTTAGGGCTAACCCCTAAACCCTAAAGACGGTCGAAGCTGAGACTTTTCTAGTGTGCAGCAGCTGCCGCAGTTCTGAACATACCATGCCATGCGGGCTCGTCCTTGCTCAGTAGGAGGGGAAAGATGCCAGGCTTGTCCGGGTGTGACTGTCAAAAGAAAGTGTATGTTATATGTGGGGGGGGGTTTAGGGGGAAGCAGCGACTTGCTGGTTTTGGGGCCCAAGAGCTCGGGGAGGGGAGTTTACAGTCACAGCACCTTAAGCAAAGAAGGGTCCAGGATGAACCGCAGTCCGTTCGGAGCGACATGAGCGTGGCCTTCCATGTTATTTTAGGAGAGGAACCGTGTGTTTTTGTCCGATATTGACGTTAATTAAAGGGTCGTCGAAAGGTCGCTGTAATCTAGGATCCCCATAGCTATGTCTGCAGAGGAGTAAGGAGTAGCCGCGTCGGGTGCACCTCAACGTGTTTGCGCTCTCTAGCCGACTCTAACCTTAAGCACATCGCTAGGCTGTATACCCTTGTGCCGTACAGGCACCAGACTGACCGCCGAGCGCCTGGGGTCATTTCATCCTGTCACCTCTAAGGCCACCGAAACCCCAGACCAAAAGGCCTAAACACCCTAAACCCTAAACCCAAACCCTAAACCCTACACCTTAAACCCTAAACCCTAAACCAAAACTCAAAAGCCTAAACAAACCCTCAACCCCCAACACCTCCGGGAGGATGCCCTGGAGCTCGTGGATGCGGAGGGCCCTTGGACAGCTTCTGCTTTGGTGCAGGGTGCAGAGCTGCTGGGCTTCGTGGTCTTCGGCGTCCTCAACGGCTCTTGGGCTGCGGTTTCGGGTTCACTTGGGGGAACCTGGCCGGACACGGACTCAAGGGTGCAGGTTTGGTGGTTTTGAAAAGCTCAGATTTAAACGGCTTCAAGCCTTAAACCCTGACGCCCCAAGTCGCTTTCGAGTCTACACTACACTCTTGGAGACGACGTTCGGGCTTCGGAGCCCATGTAGCACTGGACATCGGAGGCTTCGTGGCGAAGTTTTGTCGTGGCAGAGTTTGAAACATGCGGAGCATGGGCTGTCGGGCTTCAGTCTGTGTCAGGGACTTGCTTCCACAAAAAGTGCGCTAGATCAGTGGAAGCAGCTTCTAAATCTAACTAGAAGACCAAGGAGTCACCCTAAGCCCTAAACTTAGGAGGCTGGGCAGCCCAGGTTCAATGTGGCTGCGCTACATCGCGGTGGTGCCACGGCACCGGAAGAAGGGGTACGGACGTCGGCTGATTGAGCACGTCTGCCAGTGCTGCCAGGACCCTCCAGCATCAAAAAACCCTAGTCCCAAGAACCTTAAACCCTAAACCCCTAGAAAACCCTATCGTACTACGTCCTGTAGACCCTAAGCATGAACCTTATAACCCCCCCGCCCCCCCAAGAGTTCCCAACAGCTCCAAAGTGCTAGGTCTTCAGACCCACATTGGCTCTAAGGTTTATTGTAGTTTTCAGTTTAGGCCTTTAGGCGTGTGCATAGACCAGGGGTTTAGGGTTTAAGGTTCGGGATGAGGTGGCGTCAACGCCAAGAGAAGCTGCGAATCAAGTCTACGCCACCGCCCGAGCCACGAGTACTGAAAACCAGCCGGGCCGTCTCTCAGGGTGAGGAGTTAGGTTTTGAAGGTTATTTATCGGGTTTAGGGTTGAGGGCTTATAAACAAAAGCCCGGAATCCTAAGCCCGTATCTGCGGCACCCAAAGAAAGCACGCAATCCCAAAGTTTAAGCTTTCAGAGCCGAAATCCCCGAGCCAACATTTTTGACGATCAATGCCAGGCCTAGACTTTAAGCCCACAGAACTACATGTTAAACCTTCAGATGAGAGTTTCACCAAACAGTGTGTGGTAGAATTCATACAGGGGCCCCTAAACCCTAAACCCTACAGTTTCTCACACACCTTGAACCCTAGACTCCAAAAGATACCCCCTTTAACCCTAAAAACCTAAACCCTCTGCATGTCCAAGTTGTGAGAGCTTAAACCCTAAGCCCTAAACCCCTAAATCCACAACCCTAAACCCTAAACCCCTAAACCCTAAACTATAGTTTTCTGAAGCCCTCCAGGAGCAAGGCGTCCTGGAGCTGACTCTCTTCTCGAAGAGGGAGCTGGTTCCCTTCTACCAGGCGGTTTAGGGTTTAGGGTTTAGGGGTTTAGGGTGAAGAGATCGGGGTTGAACTGGGTTTTGAGGCAAGGACCACGGAAAATACTGCCATTCATAAGGGGATTGAATATTGGTTACACTAACTACTAAACAAAACCTAAACCCGAAACACTTTGACTGCGATTATTGGGCCACCCTGTAAAACCCCTTTTTACATCCAAAAAAAAAGCTGTAAGACCCCATGAAGCCCGATAAAGCCTCCCAAGGCCCTGTGAAGGCCCATGGAAGCCTTTTTCTAACAGCCCTACGAAAGCCTTAGAAGCACAGCCAAGAAAGAGCTGGGTAAAAACTCTAAACCCTAAATCTAAACCCTAAACCTTAAGGCCTAAACTCTAACCCTAAGCCTTAAGCCCTAAACTCTAAACCCTAAAGCTCGTTCTTGTTGAACACCTTACACCTGCTTCAAGAAAGCGGAGCTCCAGGCGCTGGGCTTCCGAGAGGTGCCGGACGAGGACGGCGACCCGGAAGATGACCTCCAGGTGTCTCTCGGAGGGGATTTTGGGCTCTACGGGTTTCGGCTTTAGTGTTTTTGGGTTTGGGTTCTAGGATTTGCCGGGGGGGTTATGAGTTCCAGGGATTTGGGTTTTTATAGGCTTTATGCGGTTCAGGGTTGTGGATTCTAGGGGTCAGGGTTCGTTGCGTAGTTTTTTAAAGTAGGCTAAGTGCCTGGGTTGCAGCCCTCGTTGGATGGACAGATCTGGCACAACAAGTTCAAAAACGTCTGAAAAGAGTCTGAATACTCGCTGAAACTTGTTTCTAGTTACTTTTTGATGTTGCTTAGGTGCTTTTTTAAGTGCATTACAGGTTTTCTGTTTTGAACTGATGCGTAAGGCCTCTCCATGCGAGAAGAGGTTACAAGTGTAGGGTCTTTGAAGGATTTATGATTCTGTTTTCCGATTTGCTGGGAGTGGGGATGTAGGGCCTAGTGTCGGATTTGGGGCATAGGGCTCTGGAAAGCCCTAAGGCCAGTTTTTGTGGGGGCGGCTACTTGACGAGGGATTCCGGAGGTTTGCGAGTTTGTGTTTCTATACAACAGTATGCATTTAGGTATATGTACCAAAGTATATATATACATATATATATATAATATACACACATACACGCGCACACAAACACGCGTGCACATATACACATATATCAGTGTATGACGGTGTATGTAGGTGTGTATGTTATATATATATATATATGTATGCACACATAAATGTATGTATGTAGGTAAGTATGTGTATGTGTGTATATACGTGGTAGGCAGGTACATAGGAGGTAGGTAGGTAGGTAGGTAGGTAGGTAGGTAGGTAGGCAGGTGGTAGGCAGGTGTATGCGCATGTATGTCTGTATGTATTTACGTACGTATGTATGTATGTATGTACGTACGTATGTAGGTAAAATGTATGTAGGTATGTATGTCATTGTGTATGTATGTATGTATGTATGTATGTATGTATGTATGTATGTATACATGTATGTATACATGTATGTATGTACGTTATGTATGTATGTATGTATGTATGTATGTATGTATGTATGTACGCAGGTACGTATGTGTATGTGCATGTGCATGTGCATGTATAGGTGTGTGTTTGCTTATATGCATATTTGTATACAGATGCATACTGGCCTATAGATGCAGATTTACACTCGCAGATGCGCGCTGTAAATGCAGAAACACACATAGTACACATTATGCCTAGACACAGATATAGATGTAAACTTGGACAGGATGTACCTACATCTACACACAGGTGTTAATGCATGTACGGGTGTGCGCGTCTCTTTTCGTACCGATCTCCGCAGGACCTGTCTGTTTAAATCCCTCTATGTGTATATTCGAGCCATTCTAGCTCTCGCGTTAAGGCCTGGGGTCCGGGCATTCAGAAGGATACGAAATCAAAAGCTGAACTCGAAAGCCTTGGAGGAATGTTGCCGGGGCAGTGGAGCACTCCCTGTTTCCGGGAAACGAGAGTGAGCATCCTCAGCCAAACTGCTTGGGTTTTAGGATTCCGGGCTTGCGGTCATGTCGTATCTGCAAATCTATATAAGTGTGTGTGTGCATATATACATATATATGTATACCTATGTATGTGCGCATGTATGTTTATACAGATGATGATGTGTACATACATGCATATTTATATGTGTGTATTTGCATATGTATGTATCTGTTTATTTGTTTGTACAAACTAGTTTCGATGTGTGCGTACATACATACATCCATAAGTATGTATCTACGTACATGAATATATATATATATATATACACATACACAGTACATTTGCACACAGATTCACACAGATACACAACGCACACCCACACCCACACCCACACGCACAAGCAGACGCACACGCACAAGCACACGCACATGCACACGCACACTCACACGCACACGCACACGCACGCGCACAC